GCAAAAGAAAGATCTTAAAATTTTTAATTTAATATAAAATTTAGACCTGATAGAATATTAAATTTTTAATATATTAATATATTAAAATATTAAAGGAAATTAATTTTAGTAAAAAATATATTTTATATAATAAATTAAAAGGGTAAAAAGAATAGAAATAAGTAAAGTAAATAAGGATAATATAGATGAAAATTGAATATTTTATTAATGTGTAAATTACAAAATGTTTAAGTTATGTAATAATTTAAGAATCTTATGAAAAATTAAAATTGTAGGAATAAAATATTTTAGAAAATAAATCAAATTACATAGTAAATAACATCTTGATGGACAATAATGAAATATTCAATATATTGTGGCATTTAAAATATTATAATTATAAATTTTTATAATGAAATTATAATGTTTTTTTTAAACTACATTTTAATTAATTAGAAATTTAAAGTTAGTAATGATTTTATAGTGTAGTAAAAATTTTAATTTAAAAATTAAAATTATAATAAATTGAATAAAAAAGAATTGTTATATGATTAGGTGTATATTTTGTATTTAATTAAAAATTAAAATTTGTAAAAATTTGTAAAAATTTGAAGCATTTTTTTTAAAAATGCTAATTTTTATATCTAAAAGAAATGGGAAATAAATATCTATTAATAGGGAGGGGGAAACTTTAATCATATTTATAAGGAATAGATTAAATAAAATCAATAATTTCTAATTAAGTGAACTATTTTTATCGAGTGACTTTTGTCAGGAATGGAAAACTGGTTTTCCTCATAGGATTTGGAAGAAATTTAAGAAAAAGAGGCAAAAGAAAGATCTTAAAATTTTTAATTTAATATAAAATTTAGACCTGATAGAATATTAAATTTTAATATATTAATATATTAAAAATATTAAAGGAAATTAATTTTAGTAAAAAATATATTTTATATAATAAATTAAAAGGGTAAAAAGAATAGAAATAAGTAAAGTAAATAAGGATAATATAGATGAAAATTGAATATTTTATTAATGTGTAAATTACAAAATGTTTAAGTTATGTAATAATTTAAGAATCTTATGAAAAATTAAAATTGTAGGAATAAAAATATTTTAGAAAATAAATCAAATTACATAGTAAATAACATCTTGATGGACAATAATGAAATATTCAATATATTGTGGCATTTAAAATATTATAATTATAAATTTTTATAATGAAATTATAATGTTTTTTTTAAACTACATTTTAATTAATTAGAAATTTAAAGTTAGTAATGATTTTATAGTGTAGTAAAAATTTTAATTTAAAAATTAAAATTATAATAAATTGAATAAAAAAGAATTTGTTATATGATTAGGTGTAATTTTGTATTTAATTAAAAATTAAAATTTGTAAAATTGTAAAAATTGTAAAAATTTGTAAAAATTTGTAAAAATTTGTAAAAATTTGTAAAAATTTGAAGCATTTTTTTTAAAAATGCTAATTTTTATATCTAAAAGAAATGGGAAATAAATATCTATTAATAGGGAGGGGGAAACTTTAATCATATTTATAAGGAATAGATTAAATAAAATCATAATTTCTAATTAAGTGAACTATTTTTATCGAGTGACTTTTGTCAGGAATGGAAAACTGGTTTTCCTCATAGGATTTGGAAGAAATTTAAGAAAAAGAGGCAAAAGAAAGATCTTAAAATTTTTAATTTAATATAAAATTTAGACCTGATAGAATATTAAATTTTTAATATATTAATATATTAAAAATATTAAAGGAAATTAATTTTAGTAAAAAATATATTTTATATAATAAATTAAAAAGGGTAAAAAGAATAGAAATAAGTAAAGTAAATAAGGATAATATAGATGAAAATGAATATTTTATTAATGTGTAAATTACAAAATGTTTAAGTTATGTAATAATTTAAGAATCTTATGAAAAAATTAAAATTGTAGGAATAAAATATTTTAGAAAATAAATCAAATTACATAGTAAATAACATCTTGATGGACAATAATGAAATATTCAATATATTGTGGCATTTAAAATATTATAATTATAAATTTTTATAATGAAATTATAATGTTTTTTTTTAAACTACATTTTAATTAATTAGAAATTTAATTTCAATAAAATTATTAACATTAATTTACCTCTATTTGGTTTTAATTAAAAATAAATTTTTTAATAAAAATAATTTTTAAGTGCAAATTAAATGTTATAATATTTTAACTATTATTCATTTGAATTTAAAATATTCAATAAAATAATGTAAGGTAAATAGTTATTAAATAAATTAAAAGTATTTTATCAATTTTGATAAAATTGTTGAAATAAAAATAATTAGAAGTTTTAAAAAATAAATTGAGGGGAATAAAATTTTTAAATAAAAGAAAGCAAAAATTGTTGATAAACATAATATAATAAATGAAATAAAAAAGTATGAATTTAAAGTAAAAATTTTAATTGATAAAACTTTTAAATAAAAATTAATTGTTGGAGGTAATATAGTAAAAAAGATTATTAAAATTAAAATTAAAATTTTGTAATAAAATGTAATAAAATGAATATCGTGAATAAAAGTTAAATTAAAAAAATTAAATAAAGTGTAGTTAAAAATAAAATAATAAAGTAAATTATAAAGTAATAAGATCATATTGAATAGTCTCAAATTAATAAATTTAGGAATCAAGTTATTTGATTTATAGATGAGGATCTAATAATAAGTTTTAACAAATTAGTATTTATAATTATAAAGAATCTGGAAATTAAATTAAAAATTAAAATTAAGTAAATTAAATTAATTATGTAAGGAGTTTCTTTAAATGAATTAATATTATGAAATAGATAGAAAGGTAAAATTTTTTGTAAAGTTATTAATAAAAAATTTCTTGATCAATCTATATTAATTAATAAATGTATATATCATCATAAAAATGGTCAGGTTCCTATTTTTATTAAAATGGATAATAAAATTATTAATAAAAATAAAGTTGAATAGTTTATTAAAGAATAAAAGAATATAGATATTAATATTAAAGAGGATCTAAATCTTTGAATTAGAAAATATTTTATAAAAATATCTTTATTGGAAGGGGTGTTTAAAAAGTATAAAATTGGGATAAATGAAATTATATTTATTTCAATTATTATTCAAAGAAATAGAAGTATATTGGTTCTTGTTCCTAAAAGAATTCTTAAGTTAAGTGTAGAAAAAAATAAAGTTAAATTAATATTTATTAATATTTTATTAATATTATTTTTAGTAATATTATTAGTAATAAAATAGTTTTATATTTTTGAATAAATTTACAGTTTATTACTTAAATCAGACATATTACTTAAATTAGATAATATTTAAATTAGGCGTATTACTTTAATTTTTAATTTAATTTAAAATATTTCATTTACATTGAAAAAATAATTTTTTAATTAAAATTAATTGTGTCATTATATTAATAAATGATTTTTTTCTTCAAATCATAAAGATATTGGTATTATATATTTTATATTTGGAATTTGATCAGGGATAGTAGGGGCAGGGTTAAGGTTGATTGTTCGGATAGAGTTAGGTATACCAGGTCAATTAATTAATAATGATCAAATTTATAATTCTATTGTTACTGCTCATGCATTTATTATAATTTTTTTTATAGTTATACCAATTATAGTTGGAGGATTTGGGAATTATTTAATTCCATTAATACTTACAGTTCCTGATATAGCATTTCCACGTTTAAATAATATAAGTTTATGACTTTTATTTCCTTCTATGATTTTAATATTAGCAAGAATAATAATTGACCAAGGGGCAGGAACAGGATGAACTGTTTACCCTCCTTTATCTCTTAGAGATAGACATCCTGGGGTTTCAACTGATTTAGTAATTTTTTCATTACATTTAAGGGGGGTATCTTCAATTTTAGGGTCTATTAATTTTATTTCAACAATTATTAATATACGACCTTATTTAATATCAATAGATAAAATTACATTATTTGTTTGAGCAATTTTTTTAACAACTATTCTTTTATTGTTATCATTACCTGTTTTAGCAGGAGGAATTACAATATTATTATTTGATCGAAATTTAAATACTTCTTTTTATGATCCTGTTGGAGGAGGAGATCCAATTTTGTATCAACATTTATTTTGATTTTTTGGGCATCCTGAAGTTTATATTTTAATTTTACCTGGATTTGGAATAGTTTCTCATATAATTTTTACTGAATGTGGTAAAAAGGGGTCTTTTGGAAGGTTAGGTATAATGTATGCTATAATTTCAATTGGAGGATTAGGATTTATTGTATGAGGCCATCATATATTTACAGTAGGTATAGATGTGGATACTCGAGCTTATTACACATCAGTAACTATAATTATTGCTGTTCCTACAGGAATTAAAGTGTTTAGATGGTTAGCTACAATGATAGGAGTGAAAGTAGATTTTAGAGTGGTAATAATATGGGTTATTGGATTTATTTTTTTATTTTCTTTAGGAGGGATAACAGGGGTTACTTTATCAAATTCTTCTTTAGATATAGTTATGCATGATACTTATTATGTTGTGGCTCATTTTCATTATGTTTTATCAATAGGAGCTGTATTTTCTATTATTGGAGGATTTATTTTTTGATTTCCTTTAATTACTGGATTTACTTTAAATTCAAAATGGTTAATAACTCAATTTTTTGTTATATTTATTGGGGTTAATATAACTTTTTTTCCTCAACATTTTTTAGGGTTAAGAGGGATACCTCGACGGTATTCTGACTATCCTGATAGATATTTAATATGAAATATAGTTTCATCAATTGGTTCATTAATCTCAATTGTAAGAATACTTATATTAATTTATATTATTTGAGAATCTTTTATAGTAGAGCGATTAGTGTTATTTAAAAATTATTTAATAGTATCAGTAGAGTGATTACATTTAGCCCCTCCTTTAATACATTCATATTTAGAAGGTTCATTGCAAATTAAGTAAAAAATGAAAGAATGATTTATTTTAATATTACAAGATTCTGCTTCTCCAATAATAGAATGAATAATAATATTTCATGATTTTACTTTATTAATTAATTTAATTATTGTAGTTTTAATTTTATGAATTATTATAAATGTTTCTTTAAATAAATTGGTTGTTTTAATAGTAGAAAGACAAGAGATTGAAATTATTTGAACTATTATTCCTATTTTTACTTTAGTAATTTTGGGGGTTCCTTCAATAAAAATTTTATATATATTAGATGAGGTTTATTCTCCTTTTTTAACAGTTAAAGTAGTGGGACATCAATGGTATTGGTCTTATGAATATTCTGATTTTATAAGAAAAAGAGTGGATTCATATATAGTAAAAGATATTATTTTAAGGAGGTTTCGTTTACTAGATAGAACAGAGAATTTAGTGTTACCAATAGATGTACAAATTCGATTTTTAATTTCTTCTGAGGATGTAATTCACTCATTTGCTGTTCCTTCAGTAGGAATTAAAGTTGATGCTGTTCCTGGGCGGTTAAATCAGGGAAGAGTTAATATATCTTTACCTGGTTTTCATTTAGGACAATGTTCAGAAATTTGTGGAATGGCTCATAGATTTATACCTATTATTATTGAAGGGAGGGGAGTGGAAAATTTTATAGATTATATAGAAGATTTTATTGAAGAATAAAAAATAGTCTAATTTAATTTAATTAAGTAACTTAAGTTTAAAGTAATAATTTTTTAAATTATTTATAGTAATATTTATTAGTACTCTTAATTAATTCCTCAGATAAAGCCAATATATTGATTATTTTTAATAATGTATTTATGGATTTTATGAATTTATTACATAATTTTAATGAGAGGATTTTTTTTAAAAATTTATTTAACAAAAATTAAAAAAGATAAAGTTTTGGTAAGTAAATGGACCGTTAAATGATAACTAATTTATTTAGAGTTTTTGATCCTTCTAGAAGAATTGATTATTCTTTAAATTGAGTAAGGATCCTAATATTAAGTTTATTTATTCCTCAATTATATTGAGTTTTATCAAGAAAATATTGTATAGTATGAAAATTAATTTTAATGGGGGTAGTTAATGAGATTAAAATTTCTTTAATTAATTTTAATAAATTAAATGTTTTATTATTTATATTTTTATTTATTTTTATTATACTTAATAATTTTGTGAGTTTATTCCCTTATATTTTTTCTAGAACAAGGCATATTTGTATTACAGTTACAGTTTCTTTAATAATTTGAGTAAGAATAATAATCTTTGGGTGGGTTAATTTCTTTAATCATATATTGGTTCATTTAACTCCTCAAGGAACACCAGATGTTTTAATACCTTTTATAGTAATGATTGAATTTATTAGGAATATTATTCGTCCTTTAACTTTATCAGTTCGTTTATCTGCTAATATTATTGCCGGTCATCTTTTAATTACTTTAATAAGGCAGTCACATGAAATTTTAGGGATAATGGTATTTTTATTGGTTTTGATTCAATGTATTTTAATAGTGTTAGAAGTTGCTGTTTCTTTTATTCAGTCTTATGTTTATTCTATTCTAAGAGTTTTATATTCTTCAGAAACTAATTATGAAAATATTACATAATTTAATTTTTCATTTAGTAACGGTGAGACCTTGACCTATTTTAAGATCATTTAGAGTTATGAGAACTATAATTGGAGGAATTATATTATTCAGTGATAAATTTATTTATTTAATAAATTTAGGTCTTTTGTCAATTATTTTATGTAGAATTCAATGGTGACGAGATGTAATTCGTGAAGGAACTTTTCAAGGGAGTCATTTAAGACGAGTTGTGGACGGATTAAAGTTAGGGATAATGTTATTTATTTTATCTGAAGTAATATTTTTTTTATCTTTTTTTTGAACTTTTTTTCATTCATCTTTATCTCCAAACATTGAAGTTGGAGGAGTTTGACCTCCAAGGAACATTCTTCAATTTGATCCTTTTCAACTTCCTTTATTAAATACAGTAATTTTATTATCATCTGGAGTTTTAGTAACTTGAAGACATTATAGTATTTTAAATAGAGATAATGAAAGAAGACAAGTAGGGCTTTTTGGTACAATTATATTAGGAAGGATTTTTTCAGTAATTCAGTATATAGAATATTATGAGGCTACTTTTTCTATAAGTGATTCTGTATTTGGTTCAATTTTTTTTTTAACAACTGGATTTCATGGGGGACATGTAGTTATTGGAAGAATTTTTTTATTAATTATTTTAATTCGGATAAGGGTTAATCATTTAAATGAATTTCATCATTTTGGGTTTGAGGCAGCTTCATGATATTGACATTTTGTTGATGTAGTATGAATTTTTGTTTATATTTTAGTTTATTGATGACATTGATAATTTTTAAATTTTTATATGTATATATTTATCATTTTAAATATAATTATTATAATTTTAGGAGGATTAATTATAGGTATTAATTTAATTTTATCTAAAAAGATATTTAAGTGTCGAAATAAAATATCTTCTTTTGAATGTGGGTTTGATCCAATATCATATAGAAAGGTACCTTTTTCTATTCAATTTTATTTGATTAGAATTATTTTTTTAATTTTTGATGTGGAAATTACTTTAATTTTACCTAGAATTATTTTAATTCAAGAAAAATGATTTTTTTATAAATATATTTTTTGTATAATTATATTAATTTTAGTGTTAGGTCTTTATTATGAATTTAAAGAAGGGTCATTAAATTGATTTTAGTAATTGGATAAATCTAAAGTTTTAGAATTTAATTTCGACTTAAATATATAGTTAAAGTAACTTATTCAAAATTTTAAGGAAGGGGGGGGAATAAAAATTGTATATTGGTGTTTTATTAAACTAGCACAAAAATTTTTGGGATTTTAGGGAATAAATAATATTATTATATACAAAATTATTATGGCAGATTAGTGTGTTAATTTTAGGAATTAATTAAATATAAATTGATTATATTAATAATAAAATTATTATTTTAGTAAATGATATGCCTGAGTAAAGGATTATTATGATGTAATAAGTTATATAAATTAAAGTTTTATTATCATTAATTATCATTAATTATCATTAATTATCATTAATTATCATTAATTATCATTAATTATCATTAATTATCATTAATTATCATTAATTATCATTAATTATCATTAATTATCATTAATTATCATTAATTATCATTAATTATCATTAATTATCATTAATTATCATTAATTATCATTAATTATCATTAATTATCATTAATTATCATTAATTATCATTAATTATCATTAATTATCATTAATTATCATTAATTATCATTAATTATCATTAATTATCATTAATTATCATTAATTATCATTAATTATCATTAATTATCATTAATTATCATTAATTATCATTAATTATCATTAATTATCATTAATTATCATTAATTATCATTAATTATCATTAATTATAATTAATTATCATTAATTATCATTAATTATCATTAATTATCATTAATTATCATTAATTATCATTAATTATCATTAATTATCATTAATTATCATTAATTATCATTAATTATCATTAATTATCATTAATTATCATTAATTATCATTAATTATCATTAATTATCATTAATTATCATTAATTATCATTAATTATCATTGGGGGGGGGTAATAAAAAAGAATTTTTTTGTCTATTGTTAGATTATGAATCTAAAAGTTTTATTAACTTATTTTTATTAAATAATTTTAAGTTAGTAAGACTATTAATTTTCAAAGTTAAAAGGATAAAATTTTTATAAATTATTTTAATATGGCAGATTAGTGCAATGAATTTAAGTTTCATAAATAAAATAAGTATTTTTATTAAAAATTTATGAAATATATTGGTTAGAGTATTTAGTAAGGAGTTTAATTGTCATTATTATAGTATTAATTGGAGTAGCTTTTTTAACTTTATTAGAACGAAAAATTTTAGGGTATGTTCAAATTCGTAAAGGGCCAAATAAAATTTTATTTAAAGGTATTTTACAGCCTATTAGAGATGCTTTAAAGTTATTAAGGAAAGAGTTATTTTTTGTAAAAAATTTAAATTATATAATTTATTTTTTAAGACCTTGTTTAAGGTTATTATTAATATTAATTTTATGAGTTATTATACCTAATTTTTTTAATATAAGAATTAGAGAAGTAAGAATTTTATTATTTATTTGTTTTTTAAGATTGGGGGTTTATATAATGATGTTAAGAGGTTGATCTTCTAATTCTTTATATTCAATATTAGGGAGAATTCGTGCGATTTCACAATCTATTTCTTATGAAGTTAGTTTAATTTTAATTATTTTAAGAAGTTTATTTTTAATTGAAAGATTTGATATGTTTAAGATGTCAAGAGTTCAAGATAAAATTTGGGCTTCTATTTATATATGAGGGGTAATGTTAATATTTTTAGTTAGAGTTGTGGCGGAATTGAATCGTACTCCTTTTGATTTAGCTGAGGGTGAATCTGAATTAGTATCTGGGTTTAATACAGAGTATATAGCAGGAGGATTTGTGTTAATTTTTTTATCTGAATATGGTATAATTATGTTAATAAGTTATTTATTTATATTATTTTATTTTATACTTAATATTAATAGTGTTAGGATAGTGGGAAGAGTGAGGGTAATAATTTTAATTATTTTATTTCGAGGAAGATTTCCTCGAATTCGATATGATAAACTTATAATATTAATTTGGAAAAGATTTTTAGTTGTAATTTTAAATTATTTAATTTTTTTAAACTTTATTAAATGAATTTTATTAATTATATATTAATAGTAAAAGGTTAAAGATTTAAGTTAATGAATTTGTTAAAATATGTATTTTGAATATACATTAAAGAGATTAAAATTTTCTATTAACTTAAAATGAAAATTAAAATTATAATTAATAGGAGTAGTATAAATATATCTATTAAAGTATTAAAAAAATAGGATAAAAATTTTTTTTGTTTAAAAAATATAAAGTTAAATATTAATTTAGTGTAAAATTCATTTCATATAGTTTCGTTTAAATAAAATAGTTTATTAATTATATTAAAGGTAAAAAAATTTATTGAAAAAGATAATTGTCTTAAAAATATAAAATTTTTACAAATAGGAATGATGTTGTATAAAAGTCATGAATTAAAGTAATTTGTGTAGTTTAAAGAATTTAAAATTAATAAAATTCTAAATATTATTATATAGTGAATTAAATTTTTTATTTCTAAATTTAAAATTCTTGTATCAATTCTATTAAATCTTAATCAATTGATTAAGTTACCAAAAATAATAGATATAATAAATAATATGAAAATAGAGAAATTTATTAAAATATTATCTTTTTTTAGGGTTATAGGACTAGAATGTGGTATATTAAAAGTTAAATAAAATATGAGTCGAAAAGAATAAAAAATAGTTAAAGAGATAGAAAAGTATATTAAAGTTATAATGAATGGATTAATAAGAAAGTTAAGTGTTATTTCAAATATTAAATCTTTAGAGTAAAATCCTGAGAGAAAAGGAAAGCCACAGAGGGATAAATTAGAGTAGTTAAAAAATATGATTACTAAAGGAGATTCATAAATTAAAGAACCTATTAATCGAATATCTTGTAAATTTATTAAAAAATGAATTATGATTCCTGAACATAAAAATAATAAAGATTTAAATATAGCGTGAGAAATAA